GGAAACCCTATCTAGGGTCACTCTGGGTTGGAACTGACACTGACTTGATGGCACTTAACAACAACTTTTTTGATCTTTGCTGTTATTGCTTGTGTGAGATGATATCTCATTGTTGCTTTGATTTGCATCTCTCTAATGTAAGGTGTGGTTTCTAATGCGAGTTATTTTGTGTCTTCTCCCTCTTTTCTTTTGTTAGGTTTGCCAATGTTTTGTCATTTTTATTAATCTTTTCAAAGAACCAGCTTCTTGTCCTGTTGATTCTTTCTATAGTTTTTCTGTTTTCCATCTCATTTATTTCTGCTCTTATCTTTATTATTTCTTTTCTTTTGACTGTAGGTGCACTCTGTTGGTCAGTTTCTAATTGTTGGAGATGCTGTGTTAGTTAATTTTGGTTCTGTCTTCTTTTTGGATGTGTGTATTTATCACAATAAATTGTCCTCTCAGCACCACTTTCACCAAGTCCCAAAGATTTTGATATGTTGTGTTTTCATACTTGTTTGTTTCTAGGAACTTTATGAATTCATGTTTAATTTCTTCTTTTACCCAGTCATTTTTCAGAACAGTGTTGTTCAGTTTCCATGTATTCAACTTTATTTCCTTAGTCTTCTTGTTGTTGATTTCTAGTTTTATAGCATTGTGGTCTGAAAAGGTGCTCTGTAGTATTTTGATGTTTGTAAATTTAAGGAGGCTTGCTTTGTGACCTAACACGTGGTCAATTTTGGAGAATGTTCCATGTACACTGGAGAAGAAAGTATATTGTGCTGTTATTGGGATGAATGCTCTGTACACATCTATGAGGTCAAGTTGGTTGATTTTGCTGTTTAATTTCTGTAACTTTGTCGAGATTCTTTCTGGTTGTTCTTTTTGAAAGTGGTATATTAAAATCTCCCACTATAATTGTAGATTTATCTTTTTCTTTCTTCAATTCTAGTAAGGTTTGCTTCATATATCTTGGTGCTTTTTCATTGGGAGAGTAGACATTTATTATGGTTATGCCATCTTGCTCAACTGACCCTTTCATTATGAGATGGTATCCTTCTTTATCTCTTATGCTGGTTTTTGTCTTAAAGTTTACTTTCTCAGAGATTAGAATTGCCACTCATGCTTGTTTATTATTGCAGTTAGCTTGGTATATTTTTTTCCATCCTTTAACTTTTAGTCTGTTTTTGTCTTTGTGTGTAAAGTATGTCTCTTGCAGGCAGCATATTGAAGGGTCTTGTTTTCTTATCTAATCTGCCACTCTCTGTCTCTTTACTGGTACATTCAATCCATTGACATTCAATGTAATTATCAATAGGTATGAATTATTCGCTGCCATAATATTAATTTTTTGGCAGTGCTGTTCATTCCTTTGTTCTGCATGCCTTCTTATGCTTAGTTTACATTTTTTGTGTGTGCTACTTCTTGTCAGTTTCTTCTTAGTTTTCAGGTTTGCTTGTTCTGCTTGGATCTTCATTTTCTTGGTAAATTGTGAAGTATTAACTTTCTTTGGCATTACCTTATAGTCTATTAACTTTTCTCTCCATTCAAGAGAATCTATTGTATTCTGTAATCTACCTGACATCTTTCTGGATTTCTGTTCCTACCCTTCTTTGACATTGATATTATGTTGATCTTCGGTTGACCTCCCAGCTCCTTCAAATTCAGTTTTGTTCTATTCTGAACTCTGCTATCTGTCAACTGAGTTCCAGTGGTGTTGCCATGCTTGTTGTCTGTTCTTGTTGGTTTTGAGTCCAAAGAACTCCCTTTAGGATGTTTTGACATGCTGGATTGGTTTTGACAAAATCTCTTAGATTCTGTTTATCTTGGAATGTTTTGATTGCACCATTGTATTTGATTGACAGTTTTGCTGGAAAGACAATTCTTGGTTGGCAGTTTTTTTTTTTTTTTCTTTTTTCTTTTAGCATTTTGTATATGTCTCCCCATTGCCTTCTTGCTTGCATGGTTTCTGCAGAACTTAATCTGATTTGCTTGCCTTTGTAAGTGACATATCTCTTTTCCCTGGCCCCTTTTAGGATTCTCTCCTTGTCTTTGATTTTAGAGAGCTTGATTGAATAGCTAGGAATATTTGTGGCTACAGAACCTCAAAGGGACAAGGATCACACTTAGAGCCAATAGAGGGAGAAAGTGCATAGCCCTGATTTATTGTTGTTGTTGAATGCTCCAGTTGTTCCGACTCATGGCAGTGGTGGTTATGTGCCATGGAGTTGGGTCCCACTCATAGCAACCCTGTGGGCCTCTGAGGCTGCAACTCTTTAGCGGAGCAGAAAGCCTCATCTTTCTCCATCAGAACTGCAGTTAATTTCAGACTGCTGACCTTGAGATTAGCAGCCTGACTCGTAACCACTATGCTACCAGAGTTCCTTTTTCGACTCATAGCAGCCATGTATAGGGTTTCTGAGGAGCAACTGGTGAGTTTGAATTGCCAACCTTGCAGTGCAGTGCATTATCCTGCCACATTACACCAGGACTCTGCATAACCCTAAAGGCATCCTGAATTCAGATTACCAGTCTCCAGAATGTGAAAAGATAAATTTCTGTGCCTTAAAGTCACCCACTTTGTGGTATTTTGTTATGGCGTTCCTAAAAAAAAAAAAAAAGTTAAATTATAATTGTGTGTGTGTATATATTTAATTATAAAGTTGTTTTAGGGCCTACACAAGTTTGAAGCCCAATGATTTATACTATTTTTTTCTTTCTTTGGTGTTTGTCTTTTAAATTGCTTTTTAAATCATTGTTTCCATTTATTATCATTTTAGTCATCTTAATGATAAATTTTGAAATATATAGTTCTTAATTTGTATGACTTTTAAAATCTTCTTCATCTAGCTGGAAGCTATAGAAAAAACAATAAGAAACACAGTTCAGTTACCAATATAGTATCACTATGATTGGAAATTAGTTTTGCTTTGAAAGAGCCCTTAATAATTTAATTCAATCTCATTATAAAACATTTGTAAAGTACTCATTTTACTACTGAGTGAGTAATGCCTCCAAACTGGACCAAATAGTCAGATAAATTGTGGCATATTCATATGATGGTAAATTACAACTATGGCCACAAATTCATAGAAATATTTGGGAGAGTTTAAGTGAAAGAAAATAAATCCTCAATGCAAAACTATTGTTTCTCAGCATCGATCTATACACTTCTGAAGGTGGAGTTTACATTTCTCTAATCCTTTCCCCAAGAATTTTAAAGTCTTTGATTTACATCATTCATTTAAAATGGCAATTTTGGCATTCTGGGAGGACTCAAATTGTTTCCCTTTGAAATGCTCATTGAGTTTGGGGAACATAAAAAATCTGATGGTCCAACATCAGGTTTGTAAGGTAGTTGGGGTATAGCTCCCCAATGGAAACCTCATAGGACAGCCCTTGCTACCCTAGAAGAATGGGTTGGTGCATTATCATGAAGGATAACAATCCTCAGCACAACTTTCCCAGTCTTTTTCTCACCAATGCATTTTCACACAGGATTGACAGGGATGGGCAATTTAAACATTGGCTACTCAAAATGGGGAGGGGGAGCAACAAAGGCACGAAGTGACTGACTTACAAGTTTTCAAGAGGGAACTTATTAGTTTCAGAGGGTGCAGGGGAAGATAGAATCTCCACTTAGTGATTTCCAATCTGTCTAGACAGAGCTGATAAAAGGAGATGGGGATAAGACTCTTGTGGTTCAATAGTGAGTAATTGCTATCAGGACTGATTGTGGGAGTTTTACAAATGTAAAGGTAGACATTTTGTAACAAAAGCAGGGGAGTGGTTGATCTTCCAGCCAAGGAGCAGAGGACCCTGGGACCATCAAAGGTGAAGAGTGGGGTGTGGGACCCTATCCAGAGAATCACCGATGCCAGAGATAGAGGCAGAGACAATGACATGGAGAGATGGAGTGGCTGGGGACTCTGGACTCAGAAAGGAAGAGGGGCTGTGTGCTGATGGCCAGGGGGTTGGCATGCAGCGTATACCTTTTTGTTGTTTGAATGGTTATATATTCCTGAGTGCTTCGGTGTACATCCAAAATAACAAAAAAACCCAGAGGGACTGGAAGCAAATGCTGTTGAATCATGATGCATGGAAGGGATTCTAATCATTGCAATGAAACAAAATACAATAGGACGAATGTCAAGTTGATGCTCTCCCATGTAAACTAGCACTCAATTCACAATAAAAACTTTAAAAAACAAACAAAAAGAACTTCTTCATAATAAGTCCCTGTGATTATTAAGAAGTTTTTTTTTTTCAAAATTGTAAAATACAATTGCCATAACCTTTTGAGCTGACCTCTCTGCCTTGAATTTAACTAGCTCAGCAGATTGTGATGGAAGCCACTGTTTTGATTGAACATTTTTTTGAAGGTATACTAATGAGACAAAGGTAGGTATACTACTGAGAGAATTTGTCTACAACTATCTACTGATTACACATGTTTACACAGAGTTTGCATGGAATAAGGCCATGCATGTATGAACTAGAATCCTAGCTGCAAGACTTTTTGATATGTCCTTGTACAGTGGAATACTACAGAAATGAATATTAATGAACTTCTACATACAATTTGTGGCTGGATCTCACAAACATAGTATTGAGTAAAAGAATCCACAAGCACAAGTGCAGACTGTAGTTTCATTTATATAAGTTCAAAGGCAGGCAAAACTAGGTGATTACAAGTCATAACAGGGGTTACCTTTGGAGGGTAATGACCAAGAGAGGACAGAAAGGAAGCTTCTGAAGTGCTGGTGATATTCTTTACCTTGACCTGGAAAGTAGTTACATAGGTGTGTTCATGTTGTAAAAACCTATCACCGTATACATGTACGGTATGCACTTTCCTGAATGTATGCTATGTTTTAATAAGATGTATAATAAACAAAAAACACTGCTTCTTGTCACCAAAATAAAACCATGGCAGATATTTCAAATCTTCTGCTTTGCTGATCTTTTATTGTTGCTGGTATAGTGATGCTATTCAAGTGAACACGCTGTCACCTAGAATATTATTTGTTCTTAGCCTTTGCAGCCAATGCAGCTTCCTCACGCCACTTAGCTTTCTTTGCCAAGTTCCAACTTGTTAAGGATTCATGTCGTCTTGCAGCCTGCAAAAACAGGAGGGGAAATAGAACAAAGCCATCGTAGTTCCGTGGCAATAATTTGTATTTTAGATAGAAGAGATTTTTTTTTGGAAAAGAAAGAAGAAAAGCAAATGAAAATATCTGTTATACTATCCATGGAAAACAGTATGTGAAAAATTTACTTCACTTGTGTGACTTACATTCACGAGGATGCTGACATTGGAAGTTCACTCCCAGCTTATCTAAAGACATACAGACATGTTTGATATATTCAACTTCTAACATATAAAATGGACTCTCAGTGTGGCGCTGTAGGATAAGAACTGGACTGTGAACCATAAAGTTGGTAGTTCAAAACCATCAGCTGCTCCTCAGAAACCTTACAAGGCGTCACTCTGAGTCAAAACTGACTTGACAGCACTTAGCAACAACAACAAATACATAAAATATAACAAAAATATTTTCAAACAATTAAGCTCAAAATTCAGAAGGGGAGGTGTCAGATGCCAGAAATAAAAAGAACTCAAAAAGTACGAATTGGCAGAGAATAGGAGAGACAGAGGCCAGGGTAGAAGGAAATGGTACTCAGAGGTACTGGGGAACGTCTATAGGCCTTAATAGCTGCGGGTTGGAGTTTAATTTCAACACAAAAAGGAGAATGCAGGTTACAGATCTTTTATGAAATGAAACTACACTTATGTGATAGTTAAAGTTTTACATCAAATTGGCTTGGCCAGGATTTTCAGTGGTTTAGCAGTTACAATGTAGTTATCACCCCCAAGACATCTAATATAGTGCAATCACTTTCTGATGTGATCACTCTAATGGGATGTAATTATCCTGTGTTGTAAATCCTCAATTCTACGGTGTTAATGAGGCCAGATTAGGAGCTCTGGTAGCATAGTGGTTACGAATTGGGCTGTGAACTGCAAGGTCAGCAGTTCGAAACTACCAGCTGTTCCGCGGGAGAAAGATGAGGTATTTTGCTCCCATAAAGATTTACAGCCTTGGAAACTCTGTACAGGGTCTCTATGGGGTCAGAATCGACTCGACGACACTTAACAACAACAAGGCCAGATGCTATCTACAGGATTAAGTTGTAACTTGAATCAGTGTCTTTTGAGATATAAAAGGAGAGAAGCAAGCAGAGTTCAGAGGGACCTTTGCTACCAAGAAAGAAGCGTCAGGAGTAGAGTGTGTCTTTCGACCTCAGGACCCTGTCCTGTGAAGTTCCTAGATCTGGGGGAAGATTGATGCCAAGACATAGAGACCTCCATGGAATACTGGGCCTACAGATGCTGAAAGGCGAAAAGAGCTTTGCCCCAGAGCCCACAAAGAGAAAGTCTTCCCCTAGAGCTGGCACTCTGAATTTGAAGTTACAGCCCTCTAACCTGAGAAAATCGGTTTCTGGTTGTTAAAAGCATCTACTTGTGTTATTTCTGTTATAGCAGCACTCAATCACTAATACATCCTAGAATATTACAGGAAGCAGGAAAAGACACTCTTATGAAATGAATAAAACTCATCTCACCAGTCCAAGGAACTGGCAAGTAAACCAGCCATTTATTCTGGGGAAAGTCTTCCCTGTACAGAGAACAAATATTCAGCACACAGTATTAAGGAGTCAGAATTCTAGTTAGAAAATAGATATGAGGAAATTATCCAAATGCAGCATGGAGATAAAGAAACAAGAAAAAGGAAAAAAAGAAAAATGAAGAAAATAAGAGATGTTAAGAAACAGAGATTAGAATTTACAATATATATTCATAGTAGAAAGAGAGAATGGATCGAATCAGGGAAGAGTCTCGAGTCTCCACACTTCGTACCATCTTCTCTCGGTTCATCAAGCTCCATCCTCACTAACTCTTTTCTATTTCTTAACACAGCAAACTCTTTGTCATCTCTTGGCTTTGCATACACAGCTCCTTCCTTCCTCTGGTCTTGCCATGGCTGGCTCATTCTCATCCTCCTTAGACCACAACATCTAAACCAACTTCTCCCAGGTACACACTATTGTATCTTCTTGTTCATTTCATCGACTGCACTTATAATTCCAAATTATATCTTACATTTATTATTACTTCCTCACTCTCCATTTAAAAAATAAGTTGCAACTTGTCTTTTCCTCCCTCTGTAGTCTAGGAACAAGCATAGTGCCTGGTATGCTGAAAATATTTTCAATCATTGTACTAATGTTTGAAACTTAATGTGTCTGCCATTACAATTTAGGAGAGAAGAAAATGGCACTACAACTGCCATCATACACAGAACTCAATTTTCAGTTGCTATTAAATTTAGTAAAACTTATTTGTGTCACCTTCACACAAAAATGTGATGGCCTGTGTGGTCACTTCCAACTTTTGCATTTCCAACTCTTTCATGATTCTATGCAATAACCTAAGTTTATGAATTAAGAAATTGTCTAGTTTGGACAGCTCTCACTCAACAGAGATTTTAACTGAATTATAAACCATCCTGTTTTTGTTGGGTCTTCTCATATAAATGAATACAAGTTTGTGTCACTCATGGACAACTAATTATTTTGTTGACTCAAATTTGCATGAACATTTCAATGGTGTGGCACTGTAGGATAAGTACTAGACTCCAAACGACAGGTCAGCAGTTCAAACCCACAAGGTGCCCCTCAGACATCCTATACAGGGTCGCTATGAGTTAAAACCGACTCCACGGCATTTAATACCAACCAAAACAACAAGATAGATAACTGTCAGTAGTTCCAGGTCTCAAAGACTAAATTTTTCTTACATTGCCAGAACAGCAATAATCCTCAAATTGAGAACTAAGTGCCTTGTTGTTGTTATTAGATGCCATCAAGTCTGTACTGACTCATATACATCCTATGTATACTGCCTGATCCGGCGCCAATCTCAGAAACACTGCTGCTCTTGAACCCATTGCTGCTGCCACTGGGCCAATCTATCTCATTGGGGGTCTTCCTCTTTTTCTCTGACCTTCCATCTTACCAAGTATGACATCCTTCTCTAGTGATTGTTCCCTCTTGACAATATGTCCAATGTATGAGAGATGAAGTTTGGCCATCTT